GGCCAGCAGGCTGCCCTCGGGGGTCTGCTGCACCGACAGGGTGGGGCGGCCCAGCACTGCGGGGGGACGGGGGGCCGGGCTCAGGACGGAGCCGGGGCGCCCCGACCCCCCGGGGGATGCTGAGGCTGGGCAAGGAGCGGGGTGGGAGCCATGAAGGCCCCGGGGCAGGAAGGTGCTAGAGCCGGCCCTCCGTGGGGCGCAGCCGCGGGGTGCCAGGTGGGACCCAGAGCGCCCGAGTTGCTTAAGCAAACCGGGCCTGATTGCCCCGGCTCCAGCCTGGAGTCAGCCTGCGACCGAAAGCGTTACCGGCCAGGGGAAGGCCCGGATGGGGGCCCGGGCGGGAGCCGGGAAAGGAGGGGGGTGAGGGGTGAGGGGGGCGGCCTTCACAAAGGCCCTCAGGGCCCCAGGGCGGCTGCCTACCTGCTCCCTTGGTCACCACCACCTTGGGCTTGCTGCGCGCGCCGTCGCCTTTCATGGTGTAGGCGGCCACGGTGATGGAGTAGGCCGTCTCAGGCTGCAGGTTGCTGATGACCATTTCCTGTGGGCAGTAGCAGGGTCAGCACCACAGTGTCCGGGACTGACCAGGCCTGCCCAACCTCCCCCCTTCCTGGACCCCAGACAAGCAAGAGGGATTCTGAGGCCAGCCCGCGGGCACAGACGTGCACACAGACTCATGCAGAGGGCACACACCACACACGCAGCACCCAGGGGCACATGCAGCCCGGCCAGGGCCGTCGCCCGTCCCCGGGCGCCGGCTCCACCCTCGCCCCTCACACAGGACACCCGTGTGGTCGGGCCCTGCACAGCCTGTTGGTGCCCTCCCTGCTCCTCCAACATGCCATGCGCCATCCTGCTCCAGGGCCTGTGCACAGGACAAACCCTGCCTCCACCCCCGCTGCCATGTTTTGTGCTGGTCCTGGACTTGAACTCAGGACCTGGCCACTGTCCCTGAGCTTTTTCACCCCAGGCTAGTGCTCTTACCACATAAGCTATACCTCCACTTCTGGCTTTTAGGTAGTTAATTGGAGTCTTACAGACTTTATGCCCTGGGCTGGCTTTGAACCATGATCCTTAGATCTCAGCCTTCTGAGTAGCTAGCGGGTAGAGGCGTGAACCACTGGCATCCCGCACAAATTAAATTCAAGTACGTCATGAAAACAGTAAGTACTCAAAAGAGCCCCTTCTTACTCTAATACATCCGCTCTTTCTATGCAAGGTATCTTTTCTATGCATGTGCACAACCAAAATGTGATCTAGTGTGGTGCACCCAGAGAGACAGCATTTCTTCATATATCAGGGTTTGAATTAATGACCTTAGCTTGCCAGGTAGGTGCTCTACAACTGGAGCCAGATCCCTATGACTTGAAGTAGACTCTTGAATTCATTGTTCTTTTTATGTTTTGGGGGTTATTTTTTTGGGGGGGGTCCGGTCTGGGACCTGAACTCTGGGCCTGGGCGCTGTCCCTCAGCTCTTCAGCTCAAGGCTAGCGCTCTACCACTTGAGCCACAGCGTCACTTCCAGCTTTTTCTGCTTATGTGGTGCTGAGGAATCGAACCCAGGGCCTCATGCATGCAAGGCAAGCCATCTTCCCAGCATCTCCTTGTTCTTTGAATAGGGTCTGGCACTTCTGCCCAGGGTCGGCCTTGAACTGTGATCCTACTACCCCATGCCTCTTCAATAGCTGGGATGGCAGGTGCACACCACCACATGAGGCACTGTTGGTTGAGATGGGGTCTCACTGCCTTCCTTCCTGAGCTGCTCTTGACCAGCTTGGGGTTCTTGCACCTCTGCCTCCTGCAGGGTACCCGCCCTCTGCCCAGCCCACTGTGCACTGTAGCCACGGGCTATCTACACGGCCTTGTGTCTTGTTCTGCTGCTCCACTCCAGCCAGGAGGGGACCTGGGTTAGCCGGGGGTCAGCCCCTGGCACAGGGTGGAACACACAGCTGGCCCTCAGTAAATGATGGGCATCCCGGAGGCGCCAGCCTTGCACACACGGTGTGTGAGTCTGCACGCATGCACGGAGCACGGGGACAGGGATGCACACACAGGGTCTCCTCCCATGAGCCTTTGGTCCAGCCTCTCCAAGGTCCTGGTGGTGACAGGGCCCTGGCCTCTCCTGGCTCAGGTGGGCACGGCTGACATAATAAGGGATAGTGGCTCCTGTCTTAGGGCAGAAAGGCAGCGCAGAGAGAGGTAGTGACCTGCCCAAAGCCACACAGTGGCCTGCCCTCCGCTTCCCAGCCTGCTGGGCCTGCTTTGGAAAAAGGCTGTGCTGTGGGTGACAGCTGCCAGAGAAGCCTGGGTCCAGGCCTCTGCCTGGTACCTGCTGCCCTCCGGGAGGGAGCAGGAGCCACTCGGGAGGAGAGGTGGTCAGGTGCCCTGTCCGCGTCCCTGCCGCCAGCAGGTGATAGCAGGCGCTGGGCGCAGGGAGGAGACCCTCGGGCAAGCGGCGCGTGCAGGTCACAACACGGCGCGGCGCACGCAGGGCAAGGCGGCCGGGCAGCAGGGCTCTACTTACGTATTCAGCAGTGTCATCCATCTCCCACTGAGCGGGAGGCAGCGCAGGGAGAGAGGAGGGAAGTGAGCCAGGCAGAGATAGGGGAGGGATAGAGGTGGGGCAGGGGTGGCAGAGGTGAGGGGTTGAAGGGGGCAGAAACAACAGAGGCGGAGGAAAGGCAGAGGCAGGGAAGGCACAGAGGTAGGGGACAGCAGAGGTGAGGGGGTAGGAGGAGCAGGGGAGGGGCTGGGGGAAGGGATCTGGGG